CCCTGTTTCTGTTACGATCTAAGGAAGAAGAAGATGTTGACCACCCCTTTTATTTGTTGACTGAACCCGAAGTGGGCTATGGGCTGATCCACAAAACTGATTTCTTTATTAAAGCCCAAATCAATTCCGAAACCCATTTGTCTTGACACCAAGCGACACCATTTCAACAGGATCATCAAGAAAAACCTCTCAATTTCCAGATTCTTCATATTTTTCCTCTTTTTTCAAATATCGTAAATTAGATTCGAAATACTAAAGTCTTTCTAAAATATAAGAGACAAGGCCATAGAAATGGGCCTCGTTAATAAGAAATGGGCCGATGGAGGGAATCTAAAGCCGATCCCTTTGGTGGTCTCTTGAGTGAGAGAAAGGAGAGAGAAAGAGGAATTCGACGGCGGCGATGGGAGGAGGAATGGGAGCGTTTTGGGGAAGTCGGGTGATGGAGATTGTGAAGAAGCACGATTCCGGTGGTCTTGTCTGGAAGAGAATCAAGCTTACCTCTACTCGTAAAGCCAATGCCAAAACCCGCCTCCGTCGCGTCTGGCAGGTAGGGTTTTCCGAATTTGATAGATCAGAGTCACATACTGCAACTTTATGTAATGAATTGAGACAAGGCCACTTGTGTAGTCTGTAATTACTTGTGCTGGCTCAACATTTTGTTCTTGGTAGATAGTCCTCGTCTGCCTTAGGCTTCTAATGACAGAGTATATCAGCTTTATAGTGAACCAAAGTAGAGCATTTCGAGTTTGCATACCTATCAACAAGACAAACACTTTACATTCCCGATCTGGTGTTTCGTATATTATGAATCTCTCAATATGCTTGTGTTGTTGTGGAGCTCTTTTGGGCATTAGTGTAAATGTCCTTTGATTAGTGTGTGTTATACATGAGCTTTAATATTTATCAACTTGTTTTGTTATGCATTCAAAGTTTGTTGATCTACCAACAACATATGTATGCGGTGATTTTATAACTCAATATATCCATGAGTTTATAAAACATCAGACCCAACCCTCTTATATCTTCTTCAATTCAACACAAGTAGGCTTTAAAAGTTTTGTTTTTTTTTGGGCAGAATGAGGCTGTTCTAAGGGCTTGTGCTGAATCAGATGCATCCAGTTCGTCGAGAGTTAGCAAGACAGAAAGCTGTAGCAGTGAGGCAAAAGATGAGTAAGGCGGAATAGAATTGGAATCATGGTCGTTATTTCTAAGGGAATTGTAGATCAAGTCTGTCTTGACATGATTTAACAGAAATAATATTTGAATCTTGTGTTGGGTCATTGGTCCGCCACACCAAATGGGATTTGAGTATTGATGCTTCTTCGTTTTTGTCATCAAGAAATTGTTGGTGTTTTACTAGGCAACACCAACTCGGTTAGTCTTTAACTTTGTTGCCCCTATACAATAAATTACCGATATGGAATGGTTAAAAGAAGTAGATATGTATTCTTTCTAAAAAGAAACGTAATAGATAGTTATGATTTTAAGTTTTCCAGTATTTGAAACCTCTTCCTTTTCTAGTTTTGTCTTTCCTCTCAACCATTGCCTTTTCACGCCAAACACTTGTGCGAGGAGTGTAAGGTATAATAATATAAAGAGCAAATTAAGAGATGGAAGACACGAGAAGAAGACCTTCACTTGGTGTTGTTAGAAGCTGAACTCGTGGCCCAGATATCTTCAAATTAGCCTTATATAAGAGTTTGGTTGTGACAACTGAAGGACTATAATAACGTGCTCTCACAAGTCTTCTTAAGTTTCAGAACAAGTCAGTACGACATCAATCTATAAAGTTTATTGGAAAAAGGGAAAGTTGTATGGATTTTTTTTGGCTTCTGACTCTCATCTGGTGAAAGTACCCTTACTTTTCTCCAGTCGATGTGTTCTATAATTAAAATTGATTCAGTTTTTGCATATTGTGTTAACTGAAATTTCAGTGTGTTTATTTTCTCCACCATGCCACCATTATCAAAGTAGAGGCACCACAAGCCTGAGATGAATAAGAATGGCCACCGACACTTCCTGGATGGTTGTATTTGTTTCCGTAGATTATTCATAGAAAACAACAAAAAATGAGTTACTTATTGCAGTAACATTACGGGTCCTTTGAAAATGACAAAGAGCAGGCCTTAGAACTCGCAAGTTATTTACGTGGTCTTCCTTATAAAATGAATTTAAGGGGAAATACAATTAATACGAAGATTTTTTTTGACTAATTTGACTTTTAATTGAATTAAACGAGTAAGTAATTTAAATGTTGGATTGCATGCATACATATACACACACACATACAAGTCAACTTCCTTTTTTTCACTCGTTGGTTTTTAGCTA